ATGTTAATATCCATTAATCATTAATCATTAATCTTATATATAAATATATATATATATTTTAAAAACTTTAAAAGGCCGAAAAGAAGAAATCCAATCCAATTACTTGAGCTAAACTGAGCTAACTTTTTGTGGGCATACAATATAGGCCGAATGTATCTTCAATTGGTTTGGTCCTATCAACATGGGCCTTCATGCCCTTAAATGGGCAGGTTGTGATGTTCTCTTGGAAAAGAAAAGAGTCAAAAGACTGCAGAATTGGGAGAACATTGAAGCGAAAATGGCACCTAAATCGAAGAGAAGGAAAATCGATCCACTGCAGTCTCTTTGCCACCGGTAATTCTCGGCTCTTACATCTTTAGATTTTTTTTCCCCCCTTTTTTCATTTCAAGTTTCTAATTTATTACATATCATATCTTCTATGTGTTCATCTATTTTCGTTTAAGAATTTGGAACTGAAATCGGGAGTTTAGGATGGTGGGGTGGGGTTGAGGTGATCAAAGTAGAGGTTTTGATACCATAAATTCAATTCTGCAACCATTTTAGAATCTGGGTTTTGTTTTGTTTGGTCATTGGTGAAGTGGGGTTGACAATGGAAGGTGCAAGCTAGAATTAGCCTGTACTTATTGAGAGACTATATGACTTGTCAATAACAAATGGAAGATTCTAGAAGATACTAGATGTAGAATTGAGTTTAATGGGATCAAATGGTTATCGTGTTTGCTTGCAGTTTGGACTTGTGTGTACACTGAAAGTCAATCCAGGAAAGAAAAAATTTGTCAACCACAGAACCATTCACTATCATATCAGTATTAACTCTAAAGACTACAATATTACCTTCCGAGTTCAAGATATGTTGCTGCTCTGTTGCTGTAATAGGTTGGACCATTACCATTAAGTTTGATACTTTCCGTATAGAACCCAATAGTCTTTTGCCACTGCTTCTCCTTGGATGCATGATTAATAGAATTAGAAAACAAGAGTGATCATTTAGTTAGTTAATGTGAAAATGCACAAAACAAACTACAGCCTTAGAATTACAATAATGTTCTGTACATTAGACAACATAAATACAAAGATACATACAGAAATTTCCTACTGCACAACGCCGAGAACAAGAATGCATGGAAGCTTAGCACCCTCCTCCATAAACCAGAGGGGTCATGCCTGCCTTCCTCTTAATTTCCTCTGTGGCTGCAGATTGTGCATCCAGGCATGTTTATGTTTTCATCAACTTGCTTGTCTTCATGTATCTGTTTTGGTTGGTATTTTCTGTGTCTAGTTTAGTGTCTCTGTTCCTGTTTTTATTTATGATGTTTTAGCCTTGTATGTATCCTCCTATAATTTAATATAGTAATCTATTTTTGGGCCAAAAAAATAGAGCAGATGAGTAAAAGGCTAAAAGCTTCTATTGTTGATAATTAGTATGTGATTTCTTAAAGTTGTAATCCTGTAGTTTTCTGGTCAAGATCATTACTTAATTTGCTTTCCCTCTTTTTTTTTTTCTTACCAGGTCTATTATTTCTATTTATTAAATATATATCTATTTTTTTTGTTTTTTAATGGCTGCTATTTTGTAAAACTGCACTATCTTAGCAGATTGTTGCATTCTTGCTATTCGCTGTATCTGTTGCTGGCTACCTTGTTAAGGATGAATAAGGACAGAATTAAAAAGATTTGTGTATGTGTGGTGTTTGAGACAATGAAGCCTAATATATTCATCCAAGTGTTAGGGCTTCAAATGTCCTGAGTGTGGCAGTCATGTGAAGTTGTCTAGGAACTTCAGAAGTGAGTTGTGGAATTCTACAAATTATGTGTTTGTTTTATTTTATCTCTCTTAGGAAACCATAAACTTGAGTCATAAGAATTGATGGTAGGAATGTATCTAAACATATAAATATTTGATTTATTCTTAAAATTCAAAGCTTGCCATTTTAGCATAGTAGAGTCTAGTGGTAATTATTGGATGTTTATGAAAAGAGCACAAGAAGCTGTAAAAAAAAAGAGTATGAGAAGATGATTTTTTTGTTTCCTTGGCTAGAAAAAAGAAGTAAAGTTGGAAAGGGATGGCATTGTGGTGATCTATAATTGGTTGTCCATTATTTAATTAGAATTGGGTAGAACTCAGTCATATAGTTAATTTTCTATGCCTACCTTAGTTTGAGTAGGACAAATATAATGATTTGTCTTTTTTTTACTATGAAAATTGTGCACATGGATTTCAACACAAGCCTTGCATCCAACCTAAAACCAATTAGCTATGGGTGGAGTAACCCTAAAATCTCACATCATTTTCCCACTCAACACACTCCCTCATGTGCATGTTTGGTATGAACGTCGGTTCTTGTCATGTGGTTTAATACACCTCTTAGATGTAAGCCTGACATGAACTTTGTGTCCTGTTTGATGGCTACGCCCCTCACATGCAAGCCGAAATCCCACCATACATGCCCCCCACATGTAAGGGTGGTATGAACGCCTGGTTTCCAGTCTTCGCAGAGTTCTTGACCATAAGAACAATAGAGTAGAATGTGAAAATTGCACATGTGAGTTTCAACACAAGACTTGCATCCAACCTAAAACCAATTGATTATAAGTGAAGTAGCACTCCTTATTATATCATTGATGTGAGATTTTCCTCACTCAACACGCCCCTTCACGTGCAAGCCCAAATCCCACTCAACATTTACCCGAATGCACCAAATGTTTTTAATACTATTCTGGACCGATTTCTTTCATACTTCCATTTCTAATCTTAGGTTTAGTTCAAATTCAAGGAATTAGGACACCTTTCTCACTTTCTCATTTTAATTTTATGCCATGAGAGCAGTCCAATCTAACCTCATCGGGATCATCCATATATTTCCAAGTTGTGAAGGAAATATGCTTAAACCTTCTTCATACTGTGACCTCTTGAATAAAGAAAAGAAGGAACAGATCATGAACTTCTAATTTTCTATGACTGTTTCTTTGAGAATGTTGTTTCATTGTTCATTTGATAGGCTGAAATGACAAATTCTTTACTGTCTAACATTCCTTTCTGAGTTTCATTGCTCATCTGTGTAATTGCAGAAAGGACCCATCACCAGTTACAATGAAAGCTAAAGATGCAGTGGCTACATTGAAAGCAAAAGATGCATTAGCTACAGCGAAATCTAAAGAAGCACCAGCTATGATGAAAGCTACAAAGAAAGCTAATGATGCACCAGCTACAAAGAAAGCTAAAGATGCAACACCAGTGAAAACTTCAACAGTCAGTCATTTTTCCCTTGATTATTTGTGATAGAATTGGTTCTATTTGTAAAATCTAATAAGCTTATAATGTGACTATGCAGGTATTTGGGACCCAAGGAAGTATTGTCGATGTTAGAATTCAACAAGCCAGGAACTTTGCAGTAGCTGAAGCACAGAAAGATGGCTGCACTGGAAATTATAAGATATTTGATTCACCATTTGGGAATTTTCTTGTGCCAGTTGTTCCATCACAGGCAGAACTAGCCGAATAACTTCTTGTCACGAACTGGTTTTGGTAAGTTTGTTTTTGGCAAAAACCTAGCGTACTTAAGAGCTTACCTTCTCTTTGTTCCAGGGGATTCAGCTAAGGATAGTACACCAACGCTAGGGCTACTTGTAAGTTGTATATGTTTATTTCTTTTGTTTATCTACTTGCGGATTATAGAAGATAACTTTTTTCTCTTGCAAATCCTCCTTCCCTATCCAAGTTTCGAACTTTCTACCTCGAAGTCTTTTCTTCAAACTGTCAGGTTGTCTTTTACAGTCAGTTTGGTGTGTCATATTCAAATATTCAGTTCTTAGATAGCGCTTATGGTTGTCTTTGTGAATTAAACCTCCCTAAAGGTTCTGAAATTGACAAATTCTAGTCTCTTGTTGATTATTGATCATTGTAGTAGAACACTTCTCCAGGACCGGTAACATGTGGACACATGAAGAGCTCCAGGCATGCATTAACATGAGGGAGCATCATGAACTAAAGGAAAAGAAATACCATGGACTTGTTATCAAGATGCCCAATAGCTACAAATATGTCCATGTCCCATTAGATCATGATTTGTCTTCTAAGACATAAGTATCCAGGACCACCTTTCTGGATTCCTTCCTTCCTGGAAGGCAAATCCAACCGTACAAGGAACGGCAACCACCAAAACCCAAAAACGGTGGATGCAGCAGTGCCATCTCAAGGGTAAGGCACATGGACCTGCAATGCAATGTCACTCCACCAAAAAGTCCAAAGCTCAGAAGATGTCGATGGCCATGGGTGAGTGGAATCATTTTCCAAACAGATTCCATTTCTTAACGTTTTCCATCAACTTGCGGGGTGTAGAATTAAAGCTTAGGTTAATGTATCTTATTTTATCCATTAGGTTAATGTTTTATGACTAGAACTTACGTCTCAAACAGATACCATTTCTTAACGTTTTCCATTAACTTGCGAGGTGAAGAATTAAACCTTAGGTTAATGTATCTTATTTTATCCATTAGGTTATATGTTTTATTGACTAAAACTTATCGCTCTAAGTCATTTGAGTCTTGTGGCTCAACGGCTATAAGTTGAGTTAAAAGGTGCATTTTTTCCCTTCAAGAGTTGTAACTCGAATCTTCCACTTACAAATGTAAATTCATTCAAAAAAAAAAAAAAAAACTTATCATTCTAAGAAGTGGTTTATTTGGTTAAGAATAAAGATATCAAATCCAAATCTTGATATGGGTAAAGAGAGATTAAAAAAAATTATTATTTTTTGTATAATTCATCATCATTAGATGTATAAAAAAAAATTAACTAAAACATTGTTTGTTTGACTTTCAATCTCATGTTTTCAACCGTAAATTTGCTGAAACTATTCCTGGTTACCGGGAAGACTCGTGTTGATCATATCCTCTAGCAACGAAACGACCAAATTTGCTGCCAACAGGAATTGAATGATGACTCGCTGCTGAGTCGGATTCATATACGACCCTTCTCCTTCATACCAGACAAATAAACAACGGTCAAGCCTCTGATCCAACTTGTAATTTTCAACTTCAACAGAAGCGAATTTTTAATGGGAGAAATATTCTTCAGTCAATTCTGGATAACTTGATAATCAAATACTATTAAAAAAAAAAAAACTTAGAAGCAGAAGTTTGGGACATCATATTAAGCCAAATTTTCAGGAATTTTCTAAGGACACTTTTTTAAGCTTAGATAAGAAATACTGTAGAAAAATTGAGAAATTAATTAGGATTTACTATTATTTAAAAATTACATAAGTCATACATAAATTATCCATTTTTAATATTTAAATTAATAATTTGAGATATATTGCTATATACTGTATTTTAAACACATTAGTACTAGTAAATATAATACCATCATTTCAATAATTGATAATTTATCATTAGAGTAATGTAGGAGATGAAATTTAGGATGAAAATTTAGGACTAATGATGTAATTTATACTAAATCATTAAATTAATTGATGTATATAATATTATAAGTTTTAAAAAATTAATTATTAAATAATATAAGATTTATTTTTTAATATTTTAAATAACATGATTTATG